AGAAGATAGCTATATCACAAAATTGATAGATATCATATTTGGTGAAATCTGGATGAGAAATACGAAAGTTGGTTATACGCATGCTCACTGCACAAATTCCATATTTTTCTGAAAATCACAAATCGAATACTCGAGTTTGATGAAATTCGGATAAGAAATAAGAAAGTGGGTCAATTAAGCCGTGGGTGTGGTTCTGGGGTATTTCAGTAAGTTTAACTTACTGCATGACACCTTTTAATCTACCCAGAACATTGTTATACGCAAACACTGGACATAGTGCATATCTGACAGAAAAAGGATACGATTATTTAACCGACATGTCAAACTCAGTAATTTTATTTATTCTGACAAGGGCATTCCCTTTTAATTAACCAACATGAATATGTAAATCAAATAGAATTTTTAAATATGCACGTTTCATAGACATGCTGTATATCAATGGATAGCTCAGGAACTCAGCATTATGAATCCGAAAGTGCATCTAACACTTTAAAGATGCACACTCAACCTTGGGTGACATCCATAAAACTGGACATACAAAATATTAATAGTTTCTCATAGTATAAATTTCAATGACATTCATACATTACACCGGAAGTGGGTCAACCTGAAATTTGCACCTTGATTTTGTTAAAGTGAAGCAAAATTTTTGACTGCTGTGATCTGCTTTAACACCAGAAATTTCAAATCAATCAGGCAAATTTTCAAAATTCGACTCAAAAATGTGTGCTATAAATTTTCAAAATTCGATATTCTTGTGAATTGAATATGTAAAATATGAAAATCAATGTCAAAATGTGAACATGTTTTGAAAGATATGTCAATAAGATTGACAAAATTTATTAGACATATATATAAGATATCTTACCACTAAAATTGAGGTTTATGGAAGCAGAAACTTCACCAAGTCTATTTTTAGCAACCACTTTATATGTTCCAGCATCATTTTGTGTCACATTTACTATTTCCATTTGCACATTGAAACTTTGTCCACCACCAGCTGGATCGACACGCATTTTTATCCGATTTGATCCGGTTATTGGAGTGGTACCTTGAAACCATTGTATATCTGGTTTGGGTGAGGCTTCTAGTGTACAGTGAAAAACTAAACGTTGTCCATTATCTTCTTGTTTTAATGATGGCTTCTGTGTAAAACGTGGTGCAATGTCATCACCAACCCCCATTATGTCAAACAAACTGAAAAATAACACATTGAACATATTACATGTTGAATAATAGATAAAAACTTATGCTTAGAATATAATTGAGATTTGAATGAGATCAAACACTGATCTGATTGTTTTAAAAAAAAGTAATGTAATAGCATGATTGTCAAAATGCCAAAGTCATTTTATTACATTTAAGAGCAAAGAGAAATCACCTGAACATCTTTATGATTTTTTGACTACTGGATAATCTAGACTTTGAGTTACCACCACCTGATAAGATGTTTTGTTATCCATTGATTTA